ACTTCTATTCTTTTGGAAGCTTCTTCTAACTTTTGGGGTTACGATTTTCAATCAAAATAATTTTGGTGAAAACTAACTTCGGTTGGTTTCCCTCTCCTAATCCAACTTCCAATATCTCACTGATCCTAATCAAAAGCGCTTAGATAACCCAGAAGTTTATCTGTTCTGAGGGAGAGTTCCGAGTAAGAGACACTTTATATTTCATTCAGTGAATTGCAGTACTAATACTCAGGGGTGTTCTATCTTAGTCACAAGGGATTAGAAAACTCCCGTGTCAAACCGAGAGGCCACATGGGGACATCTATCCTTGCGGAAATTGCCACATAAGTAACATCAGCTCTTCGACGTTGGTCCAGAGTAACCGCATCCCTTCGAGAGACGTAAAAAGTAAATATATCAATACTGGAACACCGATTATACGGAGTATTTCGTCACATGAACCTTGTCTAGTTTTCTTCATTAAGGGACGTAGTATTTTCGTGGATTGCATTTCAATTCATTCGAAATGCTTATTTTATTGACAGTTTGTGATTACATAACTTGTATTTTTCTTTTGGGTTTGATGTTTTTCAGGAACAGTAAGCCATTTACTGAAGAGAATCTGTGTATTCAGAAAAAAATCACCGATTTCTATCCAGACGCCTATCTGTGAATCTAGATCAACAAAACGGATTCTACTCTTATATTTCTCATGGGACTATCTGACGAGAAAATAATTTTCAAAAATAAATGAAAGAGTATCATATATTCTAACAATAATTCCAATCCATCCCAATTTACACATTTGTACAAAGTAATACAACTTCATATTCCAGAGATAACTATTTCCACAAAATATTTCCAATCTAAGAGAATCAAATATCTCTTAATTAAAATCAATGAAATTGAAATTTAATATAAATTCTCCATCTCCACAGAGTTTGACAAAAAAAAATTACAATTGAATAATAGAAAAACTTAAAAAAGAATCAGAGTTTAGATTGTAAAGAAGCCTTTTGTGATCCTTTGACGATTTTCAAAAGTAGAGAATTGACGGTAGTAAACAGATTAAATTGTAGTATCTGTAACATTTGTTGGCATCAACAGTCCTTCTCGAATTTCCAATTCAATTTTCAACAGTGTGGCTTTCTCGACAATGTCTCTAAGGGACCACTTTCCAGCCGTCCATTCCTTTCCGTCTCATGTATATGCCCAACTGTGGCAACTCGTTTCAAACTTGCTTCTAATTAATGGCAGGTGAAGAGAGAATATCAGGGTATAGAAGAGAAATGGGAACTTAGGTAAAGTGTTTAATATCATGTTTAATTGAAAATAATACTTTTAATGAAATCAACAATCAAGAGGGTTGAGTTTAAAATCTTTTCATAAAAGCAATGAGAATATAATTCCATGTTAAATTAAAAACTAAATTAAATTAAAAAATGTAATACTATCTCGAAGAAGGAAAATTAAATTTCAAAAGTATAAATAGTTAAAAAAAGCCTTGCAAATGCCAAAATCTATTTTAAGTTTTCACAAAAAAAATGGATAGCTTTTGTTTTAAATTCGTCTAGATAGCAGTTTTTTTTGTTTTACTTTTATCTTCTTTATTTTGTTTTTAATTGATTCTGGGATAGGAAAACATTTATTAAAATCAATGGATACTAATTACGTGGTGTAATCAATTTTACAGCGTAATTTTTTTTGCAGTATCAGAGAAATTTTAATGAGCTCTAAACTTTATTTACCTTGAAATTTTAAATTAAAATGTTCATCAAAAAGTAAATTAAGGAATTTTTTTTATTTTCAAATTTAAAAGACCTTTTGAATAAGAGACTGAAGAAAATAATTATACGTCTGAAAATAGCTGAAAGAATTTCTAACAACGAATAATAATATATATAAAGTTTAAATTTTACTCTTTAACTATAAAGATTAAATATAATTACATTTGTAAACGGATTCTTTTGTTTTCAATAAGAATTAGATCATTTTCGGTAAATTGGGTTTGAAATAATATTCGGTTATATTTTTTTATATAGAATAAAAAATTATTGAATATTGACAAAATAAAGGCATTTATGTTTTACAGTAAACAATGTCAGTTTTCCAATATTCTTAACTAGGTTTTCTAATATGTAAGGTGCAAAACGAAAATTGAATAAGGAACGTTAAATTTTAGTGCACTTTTATTTTTTAAGGGTTTACAGTACAATGAATGCACTGATTATAAAAGAATTTTTTTACGCAACTATTAAACGTTGTTACTTTTTCCATATTCATTTTTAGTACCTACATCTAGAAATTCTCTTTATACTTTTATTTATTATTTATACTATTTTACAGTTTTAACAATATACCAGGCCCGCTAATAACAGCATAAAGAAATAGATTAATAAATGTTTTTAAAAATTGCAGAGATATGTTGAATCTCGTTTATCAGTTTTTGGGTACAAACAAATGTTTTTTTGTAAGGATACCAAATAGATTTATTGACAGTTTGTGACTATATAACTTGTATTTCTCTTTTGGGTTTGATGTTTCTTAGGAGAAGTAAGGTGTTCTGATTGAGATTTTGTATAATTAAAATAGTTTAAGTTAGGATGCAGTCAATAATGGCACAAGTAAGTAACTATATTAAATTAAAGAGGAGAGTCTATTAATTCGGAGAACTATCCCCAGTGACCGTTTACCTCAAAGGTTGCCGGTCTTCTATCACTTTGAGATTGAGACACCAGCTTCTACATTCTAAATACCGACCTTCCTTGGTCCTCAGTGAACCGCATGAATTAAGGTGCTTTTCTTTTATGTTTTTTTCCACAAAGTGAAAAGTAATAATAGAAAACAATATAATAATTTAAGGGCTTTGTTTTCATTCGAAGTGATTCTTTCAATTATTGACAGTTTGTGATTATATAACCTGTTATTTGTTTTGACTTTGAAAATCCTTAGGTCAAGTAAACAGTTAGAACCGTTCACCTTAAAAATTTATTAGGGTTTGGTCAGTTTTTTCCAACGCAGAAAGATTAGGACTGATTGTTGACATTTTCTTCTCACTTATTTTCGTTACGGTCACCAACAAAGATAATATTTCTTTTCGATTATCGTCAAATTGTCTTCCGCTTTATTTCGAGGTGCATCTCCGACTAACTGGAACAAAAAACCTTATTTCTTTTAAAAGAAAAAGTTTTGAAAATAAATCTAAAGCAAATATAAAATAAAACCTACTAGAAAACCCAGATAAATATGGAGAAAAAAAATTAATAACATAAAAATATAATTGTATATAAATAAAAAAATGACATGATGGACCCGATAAATTTTCATTTTCAACGAATGATTTTGAAAGTGCAATAGTAATCTCGATCAAATCAGTATACATCCCATGGGATTTTTTCGTTTTCACCTTTACGTCCACTATATACATGTAATCGTGTAGATTATCACACGGGAATTTCAGTCACGGCGAGCTCTCGTTCATAAATATGAAAAAGGTAGAAACGAGAACAGAATATGTCGCGTCGCAAAAAAACTCTATAAGTGGATCTGTGTCAGGATATAGCAGATTTGATTGCGCTTTTTGCAAAAATAACTACTTCTCCCGAGGTTCTTTTTTTCACTCTCTTAATACATACTTCTAGTTTTCTTATCATCTGTAATTTTCATCCGAAAATAAAATTCAACTTCTATATATATATATATCTGTATGTATAGTAGGATCTCTGTTCGGGCGTATCTTGTACGTTTTTTTTACTATCTTTTTTTCGTAACATCTACTTCGTTTTATTAACTTTTTTTTAAAGACAGTATAATAAAGGGAAAATTACTCACGAAAATGGGGGGAAAAAATTGCTGTAAAATATTTTAGAGATAAGGGGAAATTTTTTTTGGGATCTTTATGATATTTTTGGAATTGTAGAGTAAAGGGAAACAACCGTTGTATATGGCTGCTGTTAGAATAATTATAATATAATAATTATAACCTAGCAACTGCTAGGTTCACCAGCGTGTAAGCGACAAAAATTAAAAATCTACATTCAACATCAGTTTCAATTTAAAACAACTAAATATTAGTTTATAACAAGAAGTTATGGTGTAAACTTCAAATGGAAAAAACAAAATGTTTTAAAGTGAACATTAGTTTTTTTCCCCTGGGGATTTTCAAACCCAAAACAAATAACAAGTTATGTGATCACAAACTGTCAATTAATGAAGTAATCATTTAGAATGAAATCAAATTTTTTAAATTAGTAAAACACAGTTTATCAGTTATGGTGTAAACTTTAAATGGAGAAAACAAAATTTCTTTAAGTAAACATTACATAGTTTTCTTTTTCTGAGGATTTTCAAACCCAAAACAAATAACAGGTTATGTAATCACAAACTGTCAATTAATGAAATAATCACTTCGAAGGAAATCAAATTCTTTGAATTAGTAAAAATTTAAAAATTCAGCTAAGGCTTATGAAAATTACACAATTTTTAGTCGCTATTCTGAATTTTTCAATTTTGTCTTCAGACTAGGATTCAACAACCCTAAAAATGTAGGGGAACATAGTCAGGGTTGGACCACCTTTCGAACTTAGTTTATAACTTTTATTAAAGAAATAAATTTTGGCAATTGAATTATATTGTTGCAAAAGAGGTAAACTTATATGCGTCTTATTTAAAAAATAGTAGTGGTCCAACCTTGACTATGTTCCCTTCTAAATACGGTAATACCGCTATTTGAAAAAAAAATTTTGTTTTAACATTCTCGGCACAAAGAGTGATTAGAAATTTAGGAAATAAAAAAAAACTTAGAAAATACAGAAAGTAAAATGTAAAAAGTAATTTAGACAAAAAAAAAGTTTCGGTCATTAGTGTACTTAAAATAAAAAAAAAAACCCCGTTTCTTTGACTATATTCTGTTTTCAATTTTCTTTTTGTTTCTTTTTTCTCCTTTTCTTTAAATGGGGTGGGCTTTTATCTTTATCAAAAATAGAAAAAAGGAGAGAAAGAAAAAAAAATCAGTGAAACCAGATAAGTCGCGTCTGCGCTTGATAAAGCTTCCAAATAGAAGAGGCCGTAGAGTTTCCTCATGATATCAGTGTGCGGACCGCCACCACGCGTCGCGGCTGCTTTCGTGCAGTTTCCTGTTGCCAATTTTTTTTCCTCTCTTCGCGCGAGTTTAAAAAATATGAAAATTTTTCAAAAAATTGAAAGAAAAACGAGAAACAATGAAAGTTACACTTAACATCGAGAAATGTTGTTAAAATTAAAAAATACCTAGATACAATTAAAATTCAGTTTTTAGAGGAATGCAAAAAAAAAATGTTACTTAATTTTTAGGGTACTAATAATTAAAACAAATAAAGTAGAAAATAATAATTATTTAAATTTTGTAGAAAATTTACACTTGAAATGATGAAATTTTTTTTTAGTTGATAAAATTTTTTTCGGGGGAAATTTTTATCCTTTGACAATTATATTGAAAAAAAATTTCAATTATTCAAGATGTGTCACAGACAATTTTTGTTTTAATTTTTAAACAAATCGATGGGGGAAAAATAATGTGAAATACTCGGTGGTAGTTTTAACTCTGATGTCCGCTAATTTTATTTAAATACGTTTTTTCTCATTTCTTATTTCCGAGGATAATTATTTTTTTGTAATTATTTTTTTTATTAATATTATAATTATTATAACTAGTTTTATTATTATTTCTATAATTTTTAATGTTATTATTATTATTTATATAAAATTTTTAATTTTTTTTTTTAATAGTAATATTATTATTTCTATTGTGATTATTATGAAAAATCGTAATAAAAATAATGGTAAAGAAATCTTATTAAAAATCTTTAAAAAACATTATTTTGTGATTAAATTAAAAAGAAAGTGAAAATAGAAGAAAAAAGAAATCTTTGGCATTTCAATCTGAATGATCTTTTTATTCGATAAAATCGAAAATAGGGCTAAAGTTATTAAATGTATTAAAGCTAACAAGAAAAGGGAAGAGATTCACTTGGAGAGTAATCCTTTTTGGTCGTTTCTCATCAGCGATATATATCCAAGAAGCCTCCCTCTCTATCTCTTGCCCCCCCCCCCCTCGAGTCTAATCCTTACGACAAGATTATTATAATGCTTTTTGAAAGATAAGCAAAAAGAGAATAAGATAAAGAAAGTTCTGTTTCTTAAATTAAAAAAATTTTATTTTCAACATTTTTAATGCGTCTTTCAAAATATGAAACATCTCAATAACTAATGACCCGGAAAAATGTTGTTGAATTTATTTTTAATTCCAACTTTTGAGGCACATACTGATTTTTTTTAGATTAAACTTATTCACCTTAATACTAAGAGAGTAAGAGAGATCCTGCTCGTTCGCCAACTTAGGATTACTGCGCGATTTATAGAGTCTTTTCTGAAAAGCTCCTCTGTCACTAAATTCCTTACGAAAAGTTTAATTACCTTGAAACTCGGGGAGAATTGTAATTATTAATTTAAAGAATCTGAATTTAGGGATTTTGTTTAAATAAATTTTTCTTTAGGAGAATTTATAATATCAATGAACTGATTTTAGGGAAATTGGTATAAAAAAACAAAAAGAGATAAAAAAAGAGGGAAAGAAAGAAAAGAAAGAAAAAGAAAAAAAGAAGGAAAAAAAAAGGTAGAAAAATATATCTAAATCCAGAGAAAAGTTTTATCTCTAACGACTATGACAGAAATTCTATAGCCATCCATATATGTATATATGTATGTGACATAATCTTTAAAACTTTGGAAACTGTTCGAAGCATATTCACAACTCTGAGTAGCCCAAAGGTATTTTCACAATTTTTTTTCCAACTCCCACCATATATAGTATCACAGATTTGAGAACGCAAAAAAGTGCAACTTTAGCAGCGAACAATTGCAAAAACTACACGTGACAAAAAAACTGGAAAAAAAATTCTTCTCACCTTCTATTGAAAAATTGTATTTCTTCTTATTGCGCCTCTTCTTCAATTTAAAGAGAGAGGATTTTATACTTTCAATTGTTTTCGTTTCAATTCAGTAAAAAAAAAAACTCAATAATCGATTTGCTTGTCGCAGTTTTTGTTCTAAAGAAATGTAAAATTAAATTTTATTTACAATTTACTTCATCTTTATTTATCTTTATTATTTCTAGGGTCTTATTTTGTATATCTGTGTTTAGATTTTGCGGACTGTGAAATGTTAGACTACCTGTCGCACTGTTTGCCTGGTTAATTATCTTCCTGTCTATTTGTCAGTGATTTCCTTTGATGAATTCCACTTGTGTTCGGTCTTTAGAGGAAAAAAATACTCTTCGAATTTTATTCTCTAAAGTTTGCGCTTCTTTTACGAGATAAATTGAATTTATTAATAAATTCCATTTTTATCTGATCCCTTAAAATAATTTCGATTCCTTTAGAACATTCGATAGATAAAACCCTCGATAATTTGAATATTTTCCATGCCCCTTCAAATTCAAATTATCGAGAGTCGACTGTAATAATTGTTTTTTCAATTTTGACTGGAACAAGGAAATATTTTTATTATGGAGTCTAGGGTTAATTTCCCTTTTTTTAAAAAAATTTATAGACAAATGTACCACTATAGATACGCAAATAATCTCATTTATATTCTATGTAGTGATGCACGTTTCTATCACTATTGATACTTTAAGTGACATCATTACTTACTCACGCCAAAGTGCTTTGGTATCAAACCAAACTGTAAACATGCATTATTACTAAATATTCTAAAATTAAAATCCTTTCGCACTTATTTCGAGAACATTTTCATTTTCAATTATTTTATTCATTTCATAACCAATCCTTAAATATGGATAAAATGAATTTTACGATACTTTTTTGGTAAAACTGTTTTTTTTTTTTGCTTTTTCCAAAAAAGCGAATTTTGATATTTTTAAACTAATACTTTGTAAATAAATAAAAAGTTTATTTTTTCAGTGTTTTCTATTAAAACAATTATTTCGTATTCATAAATTTAGATTATCGTTTCTCTTTCCGAAAAAAAGAAAATTTTCCCTCTTGAAGGATTATTCATTTATATATTAACGAATGGAAAATTGTGTAAGATCATAAGGATTATAGATTCGAGAAAAGGGCAAGAAGCGAAGCGTAATTCGCTGAAAGGTCAATGAAATTTACGAGCTTATTTTGCAGCAATCCGTCAGGAAGCAGTAGCTATTGACTGGGAGTTGCATTTAAAATTAAATTATAAACATGAATTTGATGTTTAATCGTCAAATTACTGAATTATAGGCAATCTTGCTTTTTAAATAATAACTACTAAAGTGAAAAAATCTTTTTTAAACACTGTTGAGAGTCAATTATTGTTTTATTAATTCTAAGGTTTAAAATTAAACTTGACGACTAAAAAAAATTGGTTTTAGACACTTCACCAAACTGACAAAAATTACATTCCAAATTTTTTATTCTCCTCACTTTTTCCTAATTTTCATCAGAAATATTTACTTCTTTCTTATTCTACGCTAATAAAATTGAATTCCTGCGACGAATTTTATTATTCATCAAAGAATTTCAATATTTAGAAAAATAATGTAATTCTCGCAAAGAATTTTATTAAACTTTTTAAATAATTTATTTCTTTCGACTAATTTTATGCAAATTCTTATTTAAATAATTGAATTCCAGAGAAATTTTTATAATTCATAAAAAAAAATTGAATTCTTACGAAGATTGTTAGAAATTTTTTTTTAAATAATTCAATTCTGTTTGGAAATTTTATGAAAATAGTAGATTTTGAAAATCATTGAATTGCGAAATTTTTGACAATAATTGAATGTCTGTGTGGCATTTTATTAAATTTTTTTTGAAAATAATTGAATTCCTAAAAAGCATTTTATTATTTATGAAAATAATTGAATTCTTACAAACGATCTTAAAAGGGAACTTTTACCATTTAAAATCAATGCTAAAAATGCCCTTTTAAGATCCGGAGCCTCAATTGTAGTTTGCAAGGAATTTTATTAAAATACCCCAAAATAATTTAATTTTTGGGAATAATTTTGTTACTTATCTATATAATTGAATTCTTTCAAAGAATTATTTATGTAAATAATTGAATTTTTGAGAAGAATTTTATTAAAATCTAAAAGAATAATTGAATTATTATAAAAAAATTTTATTAAAATTTTATTTAAAATAATTGATTTCTTTCGAACAATTTTATTAAAATATTTGAAAATAATTAAATTCATGTGAAAAATCTAATATTTTTGTAAATAATTGAATTCTTCTAAAAAAAGTTAAAAAGCAACATTTTTTTTAAATAAAAAAATTAAGTAATTAAATTTAATTACTTTTGATAAATAATTTAATTCCTGTGAAGAATTTTATAAAAAGTTTTTAAACAATTGAATTCCTGTAAAGATTATACTAATTTTCAAAAATAATTTAATTTCTGTGAAAAATTGTATTGTTTTTTGCAAATAATTAAATTTCTGCCAAAAATTTGATTGTTTTTTGAAAATAATTGAATTTCTGCGAAAAATTTTATTGTTTTTTTCTAAATTAATTGAATTTTTGCAAAGGATTTTAATAAATTTTGAAAATAATTGCATTCCAGTGTAGAATTTTATTAAAGCTTTCAAAAATATTTGAATTCCTAAGAAGAAATTGATTTATTTATTAAAATAATTGAATTATTGCAAAAATTTTATTAAAATGTTTTTAAAAAATTGAATTTCTGTGAAAATTTTGTTATTTTTGAAAGTAATTAAATTCTTCATAAGAATTTTATAAACATTGTTTAAAATAATTAATATTTTCGAAATAAAATGAATATTATATGAAAATTTTATTTTAAATAATAATTGAATTCTTCTGGAAAACTTTATTTATGATAATAATTGAATTTTTTGATTAATTAATTTAAAGTAGTATTAAAAATAATTGAAGTTCCTTGTTAAACTTTATTATTAATGAGAATAATTAAATTCTTGCTTAGAGAATTTTATCAAATTTTTTTTTTAGAAATAGAAGTTCCATGAAAACTGTTATTATTTGTAAAAGTAATTGAATTATTGTGAAGAATTGTATAAAAATTTTGTTAAATAATTCAGTTTTTTGACATTCTTTTGAAAATGCAATTCTAAATTAATTGAATTCCAGTGGAAATTATATTATTTATGAAAATAATTGAATTTGGAATATGTTTTTGAAAAAATTGAATCTTTTTAAAGAATTTGATTATAATTTTTGAGAATTGTTTTTTGATTTCTAGTATTAACGAATATAAAATAAAATAAGCAGATGTTGTTTGTCGACTTTACAGAATTTTATTTTATTTATAGTGATTATTTTATTATTTGACAGTTTGTGATTACATAACTTGTATTTATTTTTTGTTTTTAAAAATTTCCAGGAATAGTAAAAAAGATGTTGCTTTATTAATTTAAAGAATTTTTAAGAAACAATACTTGACAGTTTGCGAATACATAACTTGTTTTTATTTTTTCGTTTTGAAAATTCCCAGGAATAGTAAAGAAGACGTTGCTTTACTAACTTAAAGAATTTTATTTTATTCAAAGTGAATATTTTACTATTTGACAGTTTGTGATTAAATAACCGTTATTTATTGTTTGCCTTTCAATTATCTTTCACGGCATAGACAGGACATAGAATTTCATATACTTTCACGATTTTCCATGAGGAGCGCTGTTCACCGTTTGTCTAAAATACAAAATGTCGGTGTCCATAGTCTAAACAGCTGATAACGTCGCATTTCACTCTTTTTTGTGTGTCTTTCATAACATTCTTGTGAATATTAAGAAGTCTGGTATCCAATTAAACATAATTATACGCCAGGAAACACTTCCCTTGATGACTTTTGTATTTTCATAAATGATAGGTCCACTGATATGGTCGGCTTAATTATACGAAAGTGGAAATACCTTCCTACTTGCGAATTTACACTAGAATTGAATGCAGGAAAAGCAAAACTTGTTGATCTCACGTTCTGATGCAATTCTCTAGTAAATTTAGATTCTCTTTAATTTGTGAATAAAATAATTTTTATTTTACTATTAGAATAAAATTCTAATTCTGAAATTAATTTTTCAATTTTTGTCTAATTTGCTCGAATAAATAAAATATTGTCACTATACTCTGAAGGAGTTAAAGTAGATGTACCCAGACAGATTAATACCAGAGTTGACATTTTTTCATGATTTTAGTAGGGAGAAGTTTTGTAAAATCGTTGAAAAAAGGTATTTTGATATAGTTTCGAGAAATTTTTTTATCGTTTCATATTTTAATAATAATTTCAACAAGTTTGGATTTTTTATTGATTTGAGTTTTAATTTTGAGTACAGGATTTTTTTGAACGACAAAAAAATAGTTATACTTTTGTTAAACAAAGAGGAAATTTTCTTTTTGAGGTTCTTGAATACTGGTAAAAGGCATTTGAGGCAAGGTGAAAGGGGAAGAAAGGGGGTTCATTGTTTTATCTGCTGTGTCCCAAGCAATTGGAGATAGAGATACAACTATTTTAGATACAGATATTCGTATAGAGTAATAGCCATGACGTAATGGCTCTTTTACCACGGCTTCAATACACCTCGATATAGTAATACGTACAATGATCTTTATATACATATACAGTACCTGTAGAACCTACAACCCAAGCTACATATTCCAGACTATACGATATTCTGTTTTCAACATCGATAAACCATGCCTGTCTAATCCTTTGTCTTTGCCCATCTTTTAGAATTAGGTCGACCCACATGAAATCTATACGTATATATTCCGTTGCAAAAACTAACTACTTCCAGTCAGTGATTTGTCCCAAAAGAATAAAAAAAATAAATAATAACAGAGAGCGGAATTTTTTTTTTGTTTTCCTTTTTATTTGGGATTTTAATGTCGACTTTTTATTCTTGATACGTATTTTTTCATTTTAACAAAACGACTGTTTTTTTTGTTTTTATTTTATATAAAATGAATTGAAACGCTCTGTGATTTTCGGAAGTACTTTTTCCTTACTTTTAGGAGATTGGTAAATTATTTTTAATTATTAGGTATTTAGAAATTTTTAGTATTAACTTCTAATGGAATTGGTAATTAATAATTAATAAATTATATCAAGTGTGGCGTTTTAACATTTTTAGCTTCTTCTGATTCGCTACTGAAACTGGAAGGCGTGGCTAAGGGGGAGTGATGGTAATGAGAGAAAGTGAGAAGCTGCGGAACCTTTCACTCGCACTCATTGACCCCACTCCTACGCAAGGCGTGGCTTCATAAGAGTGGGGCAATAGGAGAGAGTGAGAGCCAGTGGAACGTCTCACTCACTCTCATTGCCTCCACTTGTCTTCAAAGCTTTCGTTATGCTAACTCTTCCAAACCCGTTAGTTAATATAACGTTAATTAGAACCAAAATTAATTAACACCAGAAACTAAAAACAACTCAATAAATTATTTAACATTGGTAAAAAATTTTAAACACAGAATATTAATGTAACTCTAGTATTACGTACTATTCACTAATTCACTTACTTAACTTTATATATTTACTCAGATTCAGTGAGTGAATTTACCAGTAAGTTAAGAATGTTTTAATTCACTGTAGAACGTGTCGCATCGAAAATATTCTACGATATGATGAACTTAAATTTTCCTTCTTATTTAGGAGGTGTAGGCAATATTATAATCGAAGTATACAATATGGACAATACAAACCATCTGTACCATAGTTCCTTTGTTAATGAAGAAAACTTTGAGGACTTAGGTAATAATATCGGAATATTACCATCGATTTAACGCTAGTCTTTTTTCCATCACCTTTTATATCAATTTCAACAGTAAAAAATAAATTCTCTTCTTGTAAATTCTCTTTTAAATTTGTTTTCTATTTTCCCATGTCTTTAAAGTGTCATGTATACCGGAGACTCCATCAGTACATTATATTCCTGCCACGCGTCTACTGGGTACAGACATTATTAGTATCTCCTGACAGGAAGAGAGAAGAAGGTACCATGAGCACGTGCGAGAAAGTGTCAGTAATCGAGTAAAGCCATTAAAGATACTAAGATAGGAAGTTCGTGTGTGTGTGTGTTAGGGCACTAAAGAACTAAAGATAGCTATGGACCAAAAACATCCACATGGACTTACTTTGTGAATTGTTGCTTCATCTCTATACCATCTGTGGCATTCGTAATGTTACTCTCTAGGGTCATCAAAAATAAAGGAAAAAAGCAAAACAGTTTTTCTTATTCATTAAATCGTTATTGCAAGAAGCTGTAAATTTTCTCTCTATCTTTCTCTTCAAGCTAGTAGGAACCTTCCAGGTAGATATCTTGAACCAAATTAGTTAATTTCACGACCCAATTCTTTTACCTTGGTAAATTTTAGAAAATCCCATTAAGTTAAACTTTGCAGTCTTTGACAAAAGATCACTAATAATTATCCATAAAAAAAGAAAAAGCTTGAGAGAAATATACTTATAAGAAATTTTCGTATTATTATTCTAGAATTTTATAGAATATATATACACAGTGAACAAGCGGAAGTCCTTCACGGTTGACGATCTCAAACACCATTGGTTTCCCGGAAATTGAGCCATTTGCCACGTCGATGTTTCTGCTTGCGACAAAGTACTCTTTGTGAGCAAGTTTTCTAGTCAACCCCTATTTCTCTCTCATGTTTCTGTAGAAAAAACGATTTCAAACGAAAAACAATTTTCAGCAATGCTTCTTCTTTTTTTTAATATAAACTTGAATATTATTTCTCACTTTTGCATATAATGGAGTATTAATTTGTCGCTTTAGTAGATTCTAGGTGAAAAAAATACCATATCTCTCTTTTTTTCGATTCACAATTTGTGGAATCATTTTAATCCATATGAAGTATTATTGGATGAAATAAACGTAAAAAATTTGATTTCCTCGTTATACGTGTGCAACTGTTATTCGTATATTTTCCCCCATCCAGTTGCGATGAGAGGGAAGCTTTTGCTAAAGTTCTTTCATTAAAAGAATGAAGGAAAAAAGGTTTTTTTTCGCTTATGTAGAAAAAAAATTTTTGCGTTAAAATTGGAAAGAATCGTAGAAATGGAAAATAGGTGCGTGAAGGAGGAACTTTTTTCTTTGCAGAAAATTACCAGATAGCACGTAATCTTGTAAATTCATCATGCAAATCTTCTCAAGGTGTCATAACGAGATTTAAAAACTCAAAAGACTAAAAGTTTTTGTTTGACAGTTTGCGATTACATAACTTGTTATTTATTTTTTGAATTTGAAGATTCCTATGACTAGTAAAGACGTTCCTTTACTAAATTTTAAGATTTTTATTTTATTCAAGGTGATTATTTCATTAATTGACAGTTTGCGATTACATAACTTGTATTTATTGTTTTGCTCTTTGGGTTTAAAATTACCGCTTTTTTTGTTCAACTTTTCCCATCAATATTTGCAATTAAAAAAAATTTTTTTCAAGTGTAAATTACTATTATAAAAAGAAATGGTGAATATAAAAGATTAAAAAAAGTCCCCTTGACAAAAATAGGAAAAAAGAGTGTATAGAGAACTGTGACGGAGGATAAAAATTGTGGACAAAGGAAACAAAGTGAGAAGGTGAAAAAGAAGAGGAAGAGGAAAGGAACAAAAAAAAGATGAAAAAAAGAAGTGAGAAGGACAAAATGAAGAAAATGTCAAGAACGTTGAAAATGGAGAATATTGTGATGTTTTTTGGTAGATGAGAGCGACTAGTTGGGACGGAGTTGTTTATTTTTTGGTCGCTTTAAACGCGACTGATTATGTCGCGTGCTTGTAAGCATTTTTTTACAACGTTTCCCTTCGTGATCCTCTTCTTGCCCTTTCATCGTCCACACCTCATCGTCCTACTTTTTAATCTTCTCTGTTTCTCAAGTCAAGTCTTTTCGAGCGAAAGGACAAACAGTACAAACAACACTAACGGTATCTCACTTTCTATAACTGAAAAGATGGGAAGATACGAAGGAAGAAATGTTGAAACTTTAGACAATCGTAAGAATTTAGCCGAGGACAATGTACTTTCATATAGAAATGCCAACAACAATAATAATAATAACAATGATAATGATAACAACAATACTATTGATGATGTCGTCGGGAATAATGATAACAGATCGTTACTTTCTTTGGAGCAAACGACAAAAGACTTGACAAACAATGATCGATGTCGTTTTAACAATTGTTCGGAAAATGTCGAGTATAACGGATTTCCGGTCACTGTTCTCAACTCAATTTCCAACGTTAATGTCAGCAATGTGAATTCTGAGGATTCGAGCAGTGAATTGCCGTTCACCGGTTTTGAGAGTCTCCACAAATTTCCCATTAAGGTAAAAACGTAATGTTAGTTGCACTCCTATTCAACTAATGAGAGTGATTTTCGATCTCATTTTTTTATTGGAATTTTCAGGGACACTAATTGGGGAAACAAAATACCAGTTAGCACGAAAAGTTGATGTAAAAAATCATTGGGAATTTTTTTCCCACTTCTAATTTTTTAGGAAACAGTACAGCTTCAGCAATGATAGAACTTTTTAGAACTTTTTGTTCCACTTGGAAAATTTGCTTATAAAAAAGAATAACTCTAAAAAGTGCAATTTTTTTAAAGAAGTTAATCTAAAATGGTAAAAGTTTATAAGCTCTTACACAACTTTAGACATTACTTAAATATTATAGAAAGTTTCAATCATTTTGGCAAATATAATCTTTCGTGAGTTGAAAAAAACTTTCGTCTTAAGTGTAAATACAAGCAAGTTAGAATTTATCTTTCCTGATTTCTTTCCTTACTGAGAAATACGAGAAAAATAATCATATTTTTCTGACGAAACCCAAATTTACCTTCCTAAGAAAAAGGATTCAATAGTTTTGCAAAAATTTTTTAAAGAGAACTTTTGGATTAGTAATTTTGCAACTTTCATGATACTGAACTAGTTTTATCCTCTTTAAATCGAAGATGAGAATTTTCTAACTCTCTCGCTCTCTTCTTTTTTTGTTTGCAGATAACTCAGAAGCCCCCTTATGGCGCGAGTGGAGAAAAGTTTGACAGAAGGCACTTTGGCCCTTCAAAGTTGGAAATTACAAGGCAAGCGTCAAATATATCAACATTAGAAGCCATAGAGGCATTGCCGGATTTGCCGATGAGTCCAAGTCGTGATGTTGTGCCCCATCGAAGAAAAGGCAGCACTAAAGAAATTGTTGATATCGGTGAGAATAAGGAACTAAGGGAAGAGGTCAATGGGGAAGAAGATAACTTCACCCTCAGCTTTAACGACACCTCGGAGACCTTTTCCACTGAGGACATTGTTAACTCGAAGAATGCTCAAGTGTCGACAATTGCAAGTGTTCCGATAACAACCAGAAAGATGTCTTGGTTACCTAACTTTCACAAGAACTTAAAAAATGATGGTGATGATAATTATCGGAATGGAAATTGGTCCAAGAATTTTCCTCACCGAAAAGTTAATTTAACTATTTTGGGTCTTTTTGAATTGACACAGAAGAATGAACCAAGACCTGAAGGTCCTAGTGAATTACAAGCGGCTAAATTAGCGATTGACAAGATTAATCAAATGGAGCTACTTCCGAGGTTTCATTTACGACTTCATCATAATGATACTCAGGTTAGTGATTTTATTTTCAAATCTGTTACGATATTTTAAATAAAAAATTTGACACCGTACAGAATATTTACAAACTTATGGTATTGTAAATAAAATTGTTTTAAAATTGGGATTTGCCAGTATGAAAACTTTGACTATAGTCTTCCATGCGATAAAGGGAGAAGGAAAATATTACCTGGGTTCTTGGAGTTAATTCTCAGTTACAAAGGCTATTTTTTAAGGGTTCGTATTGTTTGAGGTAATAAATATATTATAAGGACTTTTAATAAAGATGTTTTGGATTGGAAAATTTTTAGGACTAGTAAAGAACTTGTCACTGATTTAAAAAATTTAGTTTATCCAAAGCGATTATTTTATTATTTGACAGTTTGCGATTACATAACTTGTATTTCTTTTTTTATTTTGAAAATTGACAGCAGCTTGCAGTAAATCTCAGAATTTTCGCACAAATTGGAACTTGAATTCTTGCTGAACAGATGATTTGGGATAATTGCTGTCTCAACAGTTGAGCAGTTTTCTGCAATAAAAACCAAGTGACGTTGCTCTACTTACTGTAATACTGCTAGTATCTCAACAATTTTTTCCTTCAGTGTCCCTATTGATGACCATCACTCGACTGTTAATAAATCAGTTGTACTTAGAAGAGGTCCTTCCTAAGTCGAATACAACTCCCAAAAATAGATTAGGCAAAGATTACTAATAATTTGTTTGTAAACCTAGTACTTAAGTTTCTTCAGAAAGCTTTTAAATGCGTTAGGCGTTAGTCCATAGTCAATAAGGCGATAATCCCATCAATCATAAACTGACACTGCGGTCATCATTAACCCTCACCAGCCCCCAAAAGAAAAGGGGGATCCTAGAAAATTAAATAGTCCACAAATGTCAAGCCTTTATTGTACATATTAATCAAACAAATGTAGGTACATTATTAATACTATTCTACAATAATTTATTAATTCAAAATTAGATTTCAAATTAAAATCAGAAATCTAAATTTATATTTCAACAATTAGGGATGATCCATTTTATCTATTTCATACTAAAGCTTTTACAAAAGTAAATTATAGTATGAAGAATTTAATTATAAAATTATATTAAAGTAGAAAATAAATGAAAGTAAAGGATATACTCATACTACACTTCTCAAAGTGAAAATAAATTAATTAAAATAAGTTGAAAGTAAATTAATTAAAAATAACTAATATTAAAAAATAATATCGACAAGTCCGATGAGTTTTAAAAAAAGGTACCCAGGAATAACAGATAATAAAAAAATTTCGAAAAATTATTAAAAGAGGTAAATCATATGCGAATAATCTTTTCTTTTTCAAAGTTCCTCGTGTGAAACATGACTTTTCATCTATGAAACCCTTATAACTATACAGACGTGGGGTTGTTCTCGTAACAAAACCTCAACCTGGTTTTAGTTAGAAACTGCTGTCGAATGCACATTGTGGGTGGGAAAATTTGAAGACCTTTTCAAGCTTGACCTGTGACTTATAGGGGCGCTAATTAACTTGCTTTATTTGTTTGATCAAACATATAATTAGTTTGATGGAAATATTTAATTAACTCATAGAATTAGTAGATTCTTTTATTAAAAAAATGCAATAACTCGTACAAATATTCTTATCTAACAAATTTATTTTTACAAATAAGAATTTAAAAACAATTATATTTACATAAAATACTTCTTAAAGAATTAAGTTAAGAAATTTATTATATTGAAAAGTTGATTCATTTTTCAAAAGAAAGTGAAATTTTTATAAAAACTTTCTGTTAGGGTTGAGAGTGAAAATACAATTACGAGTTTTATTATTTATTTTTAATTATTACTACTTTGATTTATAAATTATTATTAATTAAGGATAATTAAATTAATAATTAATTTAAATAACAGTTTGAGAATCTTTACTTAATGACGTATTGAACTTTGTTAAGAAGGTGGCTTTCCCTGGGAGTCACTTGGAGCTTTAGAAAGTCACTTCAGAATAGAATAATTTAAAGCTTTACATGCGATTCGTTCTAGAGGATTCAAATTTGAATGATGATGAGGTCAACTAATTTCACTTGACTTCGCATATACTTTTAGTAATTTAAAAAATGTATATACGTTTCAGCGTTTTTTTTCTGTTAAATTTTGTACTATTTTACAGTCGGAATAATTTTTAGAATTTTATTTTATTTTCATCTGATATTTTACTACTTGACAGTTTGGGATTATTATTTATTTTTTAGGTTTACAAATTTTTAGGACTGGTGAAGCAGTCGTTGTTTTGCTAATTTGGAGAATATTATTTTATTCAAAGTTATTATTTCACTAATTGACAGTTTGTGATTACATAACTCGTTATTTATTTTTGGCTATGAAAATTTATAAACCTGGTAAAGCAGACGTTGTTTCTTCATTAAAGGAAGTTTATTTTCTTCTTGATTAATTGACAGTTTGTGATTACATAATCCGTTATTTATTTTCATCTTCATGAATTGACAGTTTGTGATTACATAATCCGTTATTTATTTTCATCTTCATGAATTGACAGTTTGTGATTACATAACCCGTTATTTATTTTCATCTTCATGAATTGACAGTTTGTGATTACATAACTTGTTATTTATTTTCATCTTCATGAATTGACAGTTTGTGATTACATAACTCGTTATTTATTTTTGGCTATGAAAATTTATAAACCTGGTAAAGCAGACGTTGTTTCTTCATTAAAGGAAGTTTATTTTCTTCTTGATTAATTGACAGTTTGTGATTACATAATCCGTTATTTATTTTCATCTTCATGAATTGACAGTTTGTGATTACATAACTTGTTATTTATTTTCATCTTCACGAATTGACAGTTTGTGAGTACGTAACCTGTTATTTATTTCTTGATCATGAAAATTAATAAACTTGGTAAAGCAGACGTTGTTTCTTAATTTAAAGAATTTTATTTTATTCAAAGTTCTTCTTCATTAATTGACAGTTCTGTAATCCGTTATTTATTTTTCGAATTTGAAATGTCTTTTCCCTGTGAAACCAGACATTACCCTAATTTTAAGAATTTCATTTCATTCGAAGAGATTACTTTTGTAATTGACAGTTTGAGACTACATAACCGTTATGTACACTTTGATGTGAAACTTTTTATGACTAATAAGATTTAATAGAGTCCTCAATAGGATTAGGTAGTAGAGCGAGTAATAACAACGTCATTCGGGAACAAGCACGAAAACGGGAATGAAAATAAAATGGCCGATTTCTTAAGATCTATAAGCGACCTCCCTTCATGAACGATGATTGTTTACCATCCGTCGATAACATTGTGACCACTTATCATGTACGACACTTTGGACGTTGTTAATTTCCATAAAGTATTGTTGAATTTTTTTTCTGAACTTTCACATTTATTTCCTTTTTTTATTGTTTTCCCGTATGTTCTCCCACTAAAAGTAGACCTTGAAGTGCTCTAAAATGTTTTCTGCACATATATGTAAAATTTACATCTTCTATATTCTCGGTGTGGAAAATCAACCCTTTACTTTATTTTTCTGTCTACTTGAAGTATGCATGGATTTGTGAAGAGCGAATAATTACGAGAACTTCCGTAATTTAAGCAATCTTGGCGATCCAGTTCTCTAAAATGTTCATCTAACCGCATGTTTAAATAGAAATTTTAATTTCACATTTTTTAATTTGTATCTACAATTTTTTTTTTTTGGTAAATTCTACGATTTTATCTACTTTTTGTCGGAATATTTTTTTAAAAAACATTTTGTTTCATTTGTTACGGAATTTATTAAAAAATGTTTCCTTCTGCTTTGTAATTTAATATAACGCAGTTCATTTTTTGGAATGTTTGCTTTTATAGAGACAAACAAGACTACACTTTTGTGTTACTTAAAATAAAAAAATAGTATTTCTTTTAATAAACTATGCAAGAATTTTTCTGTAATGTTTAAAGAAATATAATTCTATTTTCATCTTTAAAAAAAACTAAACACTTTTTGTCAACTCGGAAATAGAAAATTTTCATTTTTGCAAATTTTCGTACATTTTAATCTCCAGCTTGTTTCTACAGGCGAGAGAGGAAATTTTTTTTTAAAATGTGTGTATATATAATCAATGTAAGCAGAACGATGCGATGCGCGTTGATGTGCCTGCAATCTAACAAAAAAAAATAAATAGTACATACATTATGCAACATATATAGGAGGGAAAAGTAAATGTTTGTTAAAAGAGGGAAGAAAAATAATTTTTTTTCTTCAAAGGAAGAGATCAAAAGTACTCAGATTTTTACGTTGTTCTCTGATGCATAAAATATACATGCATTTTGAAATGTGAATAATTATCTTGTTAAATTATTCATTTCTGTTGTCTGTTGTAAATTTATTCGGCTTTTACCAAGTTGTTTCTTAAAGTAAATGAAATATTAAATGAAAGAGTGATAATAGAGCTCTTTCTAAATTATGTGTGTTAATTCTGTTTTATGGGGTTTATGTAAACTTACATAATTTTAAAAAATGGGTTTTATGAGCTTTTTCTTTTCTTTAAATATTTTCAAAGAGACTTGTTGAATGTCGTTAGGTGTTTATTTGATAAACGCCTGCGAAAATAGTTTCTGATTTTTCCTTTAGTTTATATTTTACATACTACTTAAAATTGTACTTACAGTTATGTTTTTAAGAAATGATATAAATTTTATATTATTTTAATTACTTTAATTTACTTTAATTATTACTTTAATTATATTTTGTAGTTAAGTGAGGAATTTTCTGCTTTTCAAAAAGGGGATTTGCAAAACAGTTTGCTTTGCAGACATGTAAAAAAATTAATTGCTTCAATATTCTGCCTATTCGACAGGATGTATTAATAATTAATATGTAACAAGTTATATACAATTTATTGATCAATAAATTAAATCGCAATATGATTTAATTGATTGGAAGAACCTTAATTGCATTTCGTGATAGAATCATTCAAAATGCAAATATATGTAAACACTTCA